CCGCCTGGGCCCATCCGCTCGCCAGCCGCGCGCGTAAGTCCGTCGGCGCGTGCCGCCTCGCGCGCTCCGGTGTGGGCGCCGCCCCAGAGGGGGGCGCCCAAAGAGGGGGGGCGGGGCGGCCTGCGCAGGGGGCGGAGGCCACAGCGGAGCGACGCCGCAGTTCGGAGCCCCGAGTCATCGGGGCTGGGGATGGTGAGGGGTACGGCCAGACCGAGGTAGAAGATCGAGGTCGGTTCGGGGAGGGCACCCCAGTGTTCTTCGTGCTTGCTGGATGCCCTTGTGCACCCTGGGGAGGGTACCCTTGGATGTTCTGTTTGTTTTGGCCGGCGGAGGGTCTCGTGTTCTTGAAGGATATGCTTGGTGGTCTATGTCCGACTGTAGCTCCTGGTTCGTACTTCGGGGGCCCAAAGCGGAGTTACCCCAGACCAGAGCTATCCCGGATATTTCGGGCATCCAACCACACTCCCGAATCATCGGGGTTCGGGGATGTGGTCAGGAGTGACTCCTGGTTCGTGCGTCGGGGGCCCGAACCAGAGTTAACCCAGGCCAGAGTTACCCCAGATATCTCGGGCGTCTTAGGAATCTCGGAGACACCAAATTTTGCATCTCGAAGACAACAAAACTTGCATGCAGGTAGCATCTCGGGGTTCTGCGCAGATTGCGTGGATCCCTAAACGCGGAGCCGTGAAGGGAGAGGGCCCTCGAAATAAAAAAGAGCTCTGAAGCTGTGACAGCGCGTTTCGTAATGCCTGGCCCTCGCCCGCACCACAAACTTGTATTCAGATCCGAGCCTCGACAACCACGGAACGCGCGTGCTTGCACATGCATGCGCATTTGCCTGCAGCAGGCCGTGCGGTACTTGCCCTCCTGCTTCCCCTGCGTACACCCATGCACAGGCACAGAGCTATCGACCTGGGAGGTCAGCTCCCACGGACGAATGAAATCCTTTCGCGGATTAGTCTCTTACGGCTCGCAGACTTTAGTTGGCTATCGTCTTACAGGAATTACAACCGACGGTCGGCGAACAAATCATCTCGTACATCGACTCGTCGCCCGGGCTTTTTTATGGCAACCATCTCATTCAGAAGATCTCGTGGTCAATCACATCGACGGCAATAAAGGAAATAATTCCACCAGTAATTTAGAATATGTGACTCGGTCGCAGAACTCGCTCCTTTCCAAGAAATGGTGGCTTGGACGCTCAAGTTCTGGAGCAACAAGGTCGAAACCTGTAAGGGGACGGATAGTTTGATCGGAGTCATGGAAGTGGTACGCATCGATGACCGAAGCCGCGCGCCTTTTGCGTTTGACCGTTGGCAATATATATATATATATATATATGTGTATCGCTTTGCTGCCGTGGGATCACACGACGCGCCGGTAATTACGAGTTCAAGTTTGCAGATTCGACCGTCCCCAGCGTGCTGCCAGGAGAGGTGTGGCGCGGGATCCCGCAGTGCTTGTTCACGAAAAAGCCGCGAGTACCCTTCGCCACTCGCTGCTTCACACGCGCAGATAGTGCTACAGTACGCTTCTTCCAGACCTCCCAGGAGCTGCCTCCTGATATGTTTTGCAGCTCTCCTCGCCGCCGCCGCCCCCTCCCCCGCCTGGGCCCATCCGCTCGCCAGCCGCGCGCTTTAATTCCGTCGGCGCGTGCCGCCTCGCGCGCTCCGGAGTGGGCGCCGCCCAAGGGGGGGGGGGGGGGGGCGGTGGCCACAGCGGAGGGATGCCGCAGGTCGGAGGCCCGAGTCACCGGGGCTGGGGGTGGTGAGGGGTAGCTCCTGGTTCGTGTCTCGGGTCGGGACGACCGACACGGGCACGGAAAGAGTGGGCGCGTTGCCCAAGGGCAGTTCCTGTCCTATTTGAGCAGGACTCCCTGTCCGCGCCGCCGCGGATGCTGTTCTTTGAAGACAACAAGCCGCCTGCCCAGCAGCGGCCGCTGCACGTTTTGGAGAACATGTGTTGTTGGGCATTGTGCAAGGTTGTTTCCGAATTCGGGCGTCCAGATCGGGGACCCAAAGCGGAATTACCCCGGACCGGGGTTATCTGAAATGTTTTGGCATCCAACCGTTCCCGAAACATGGGGGTTGGGGACGTGGTCAGGGGGTAGCTCCTGGTTCGTGCGTCGGGGGCCCGAACCAGAGCTACCCCTGGCCAGAGTTATCCCTGGATATCTCGGGCGTTTAAGAATCCCGAAGATAAAAAAAAATGCAGATAGTATATCGGGGTTCCGCGCGAATCTCCTGGATCTCTAGCTCCGATGGTCTCGGGGGGGGTTGCGACTTACGAGCCCCAGATCGGCGGCGGCCCTTAGGGGGGGAAGTGAGAAGGAGTAGGCCTCCTCAGAAGGCTCGGAAGTCCCCCGGCCTTCTGACAAGTTTCTCCTAGGAAGCCATGCCCCGAAGATGTGGAGAACCTCTCGGATGGCGCGAGGGCTTCCGAGAAGCCCCGCCGCCTTCTGAGAAGGCCTTCTTCTTCTCACTCCCCCCCGCCGGGCGCGCCGCCGAATTCGGTTTTGGTGTCATAACTCGGGTCTCTGGCGGCCGTTCGGGACGATCCGGGCACCCCCGGAACGCCCTCGGCGAGGCGCAGCTGCTGGCAAGCATCCTGGGGCTGGAAAACCGCCGAGAACTGACGAAAACGCCCGACGAAAACCTCGAGCCTCGAGCCGCCGACCAGAGGCCGACCACGAAGGAGGACACGCCGGGGCTGCAAAAGCGTCGGGGCGTCGGAGATCTCGTGAGCCCCCTCCGACGTCGCAGAGCACAACACGGGACGGGCCTGGGCACCAGGGGGCACACCGCCGCACAGCCCCGGCTTGCGCCGGGCCTCTGGCGGCGCAGAGGGCGCGCCGCCGCGCGCGGGGCGCAACGGCGCGCTCGTGGGCGCGGGCTGCGCACGGGGGCGCGGGCAGCCAGGCGCCTTCGCACAGGGGAGCGGCACCTCGCCCACCTGTCGGCGGTGCAGAGGTGGGGTCCTGAGGGATGGGGTCCTGAGGACGAAGTGCCTCGCACAGTGCAGATCCACCCCTGGAGAGAGGTTAAAGTATCAGATGACACAGTTCAATGGGTGTTGGTATGAAGTCGCGAATGGTGGAGGACATGTGGTCTACCTCCAAGTGGTGGCGGCAGGCATATGGTGCCCACCATGTCCCGTCCACAGGGACATATGGTGTACCTGTCCCGGGGAAGCGTGAGACTCGAGCAAGCCGGAACTCGGTTGTGCCGACGTTTTTTGACGAGCGCGTCTTGGAGTTTGGCGGTCCGGTGTTCGTGGGATGTGTGCAGCGGGAGCGCGCGTCAAATTTCAGATTGGGTCTCGCCATGTTCATTGATGGCCCCGTCGGGCCAACCCGAGTCCCCCGAGCCCCAGTCTTACGTCTCCCCGATTGTCGGCGGTTCAGAGTTGGGGTCCTGAGGGATGGGGTCCTAAAGGACGAGGTGCCTCGCACAGTGCAGGTCCACCCCTGGACCTCGGCCTGTCCTCGGGACCCCATCCCTCAGGCCATCATCTTTGAACCACCGGCACAAGTGGGCGACGCAAGAAGACGGGGTCGTCTGCGCCGACATTGGCGCGTACGTTGCCCGTGTAAGGCCGCGCGCAGGCGTCCTCGTCTCCACTGGCGCGCCGCGCGGGCGGCCCGCGTGAGCCGCCGCGTGAGGTCGCTGTGCCACCTTTCGCAAGACCCGTGTGTTGACCGTCGGGCGAGGGGGGGGGCCGCCGGCGGCAGAGCTCGGCCGAGCTCAGGCGCGAGCCAGTTCCCACTCGGACCCCTGGCCACGGCCACGAGCACCAGGTCCTCGGACCGGGACCGCAAACTCTTGCGCGCAACCGGCCCCGGGGGCAGCCCCCCCAGGGGGACCGCGCGGCGCGCCGCCGAACAGACGTCTGCACGATCGAGGATCTCAGAGCGGAAAAACCAAAATTGACCCCCAAACGGAGAGCAAAACGTCGAGGTCGAAAATGTATAACAATGTCCCCCCGCGTTTGCAACATCATGCCCCCCGCGCACCCGCCGCGGAGGGGCGCCACGCCGTCGCGCGAACTCGCGCGGCCTGGATCATCAGATCCCGGACTCTTTCGGTCGCGATCGGCAGCGACCGATCGGCATTCCAAATCGGTCGCGGCCGATCGCACGCGACCTGTCGAACGCAACCGAGTTTGAAGCACATCGGTCGCGACTGGTACCAGAATCTAGTGGCCTTCGTCCTATCCCGAGACCCTGCCCTGGGTCGTGGCCAGAGGTCTCCTGGAGTCTCGTTGAGGCCTCCTAGTGGCCTCTCGGGGAGCCTCTTGGGAGGCTCCTGGGGGCGTATTTGGGAGCATCTGGGGGTACCTTGGGCGCCTCTTCGTGACCTACACCTCGAGAACACATTTCTGGTCACGATGGCGAGGGTTGAGTGTGCACTTGCGCAAGGTATAGCTTGTCGGGCAGCGGCTCTGGGCCGACCGGGCCTTCCCAGGCCACACTCCTCAACACCGGTCGGGGAGGGTGGCGGCCGCTGTCTGCCCAGCAAGACGCCTCATTTCTGCGCTCATCTGAACATGAGGCACGTCGGTCGCGACCAGTATTCGAATCCAGTGGCCTTCGCCCAATCCCGCCACCCTGCCTTGGGTCGTGGTCAGAGGTCTCCTGGAGTCTCGGCCTTCTAGTGGCCTCTCGGGGGGCCTGTTTGGAGGCTCCTGGGGGTGTATTGGGAGCATCCGGGGGCATCTTGGGCGCCCCTTCTTGATCTACACCTCGAAAACAAATTATTGGTCACAACGGCGAAGGTTAAGTGTGTAATGGCGCAAGGTATACCTTGTTAGGCAGCGGCTCTGGGCCGACTGGGCCTTCCCAGGCCACACTCTTAAACACTGGTCGGCAAGGGTGGTTAAGGAATGGGGGGTCACTACTGTCTGCCCAGCAACGCGCCTCTGTTCTGCACTCATCTGAACATGAGGCCCCGTATGACATCGCATGGTTTTGAGGCTCCCGAATTTTCTCTACAGCACCGCAGAGCTGTTGCACATCTAGTGATTGCCACCGCGTAGCCTTTTTGGCTCAAGCCAGCTTGGCCTGAGCCACCTTGGGCCGAGGAGCTTGCTGAAGTGCAAAGTGCTACGCGTTGCTTCCATGATCTCCGAATCATTTGGGGCCAGGGCTGCGCTGTATGCGCCTGCCCTGTGTGAGAGCGCGCCTTGGTTATGGTCTTGCCTGCTCGAGCGCCTGCTCATTTCACCCCCGGCGTTTCTCTACGTCGTCGACGGGGGCGGCTGCGGTTAGTTCCCACGGTCGGACTCGAAGCAAGAATGGAATCATCACTTGGGGCTGTTTGAGCGATTCAGGATATTATACTACCAGGATTGGTGGCCGCAAGAATTACGTGCATCGATTGGTGGCCCATGCTTTCTTGGGGCCACCGCCTTCGACGCAGCATTGCGATGTGAATCACAAGGACCGCGATCGTGGCAACAACCATGTTGATAATTTGGAGTTCGTCACACGTTCCGAGAACATCTTCCATTCATATGTAGCGAACCGTACTCGTAGATCTTCCGCACATGCACACTCCAAACCAGTCCTGAGCAGACGGTCTGGACAAGGTCGCTGGGTCGATCACTCCTCTGGGGTCCTAGCGTCCCTCGAAACGGGCGTTGATGCCAGTCTCATCTACTTGTGCTGCAAGGGCAGGAGAACTTCAGCAAAGGGCTATGAGTTTAGATATCAACCACCCATCGTTCCGCCATGTTTGCCAGGCGAGGAATGGCGTCCTGCCTTACACCCATGCACAGGCGCACAGCTATCGAATTGGGAGGTCAGCTCCCACGGACGAATGAAATCCTCTCGCGGATTGGTCTCCTACGGCTCGCAGACTTTAGCTGGTTATCATGCTACAGGAATTTCAATCGACGGTCAGCTAACAAATCATCTCGTACATCGACTCGTCGCCCGAGCTTTTTTATGGCAACCATCTTACTCAGAAGATCTCGTGGTCAATCACATCGACGGCAATAAAGGAAATAATGCCAAAAGTAACTTAGAATACGTGACTCGGTCGCAGAACGCGCTCCTTTCAAACAAGTGGTGGCTTGGACGCTCCAGTGCCATAGTAAAATGGTCGAAACCTGTTTTGGGACGCACATTTGGATCGGAGTCATGGAAGTGGTACGCATCGATGGCCGAAGCCGAGCGCCTATTGGGACTGGCGATTGGCAGTATATCGCATTGCTGTCGTGGGATCGCGCGACGCGTTGGTAGTTACGAGTTCAAGCTTGCAGATTCGACAGTCCCCAGTGTGTTGCCAGGTGAGGTGTGGCGCGAGATACCGCAGTGCTTGTTAACGAAAAAGCCGTGAATACATTTCGCCACCCGCTTCTTCACACATTCAGATTGCTACAGTATTCCACATTGCTCGGAACTCTGCGCACAAATGCGGGACGATGGTGGCGCATCGCCGCACCTTGAGCATTGCGTTCCACAGCTGTTCCCTTGTGGGTATGTTGATGCTCGACACGGTGCTTGCACCGTGTTCCGCATTTGCTCCTCCCACTCCCCCTCCGCCTCGTCATCCTTCTCCTCCGCCTCCGCCTCCTCTCCCATATTTCCGACTCCTCCGCCGCACATTCGTTTTCCGTGTTCTATTATTGCCCACGTTTGCGTTATGTTGGTTGCCAGTCGCCCATTTGTTTGCGGCAAGTCCCGCGACCGTTCCAGCCCAGCATTTAGGGTGGCGAGTGGTCGAGGGGGCACGGGAAACCATCACATGTGACACTTTTTGTTTCCACGCTTGAGGGAGCCGTGATGAGGATTATGCGGATTATGAAGATGATGGCGGTGATGACGATGATGAAAGTGATGATGATGATGATGGTATTTATGATGATGATGATGATGATGATGGTGATTGTGATGGCGATGGCGATGGTGATGATGGGGTACTGACGACGATGATGTTGATGATGCGAATTTCTGATGGCGATGTCGATGGCGATGACGATGACGTGATGATGATGTTGATGATGGTGGTAGTGGTAGTGGTGGTAGTGGTGATAATGATGCTCATGGTGATGTTTATGATTACGATTGTGATGACGATGATGATGATTCTGGTGATGATGGTAATGGTGGTGATGATGGTTTCGATGTTGCGGATGGTGATGACGATGATGGTGATGATGATGGTGGTGGTGATGGTAACAATGATGGTGATCATGATGTGGATGATGATGACCCTGATGATAGATATATGATAATTTTAATGGTGATGATGTTGGCAATGACGATGGTGATGATGATATTGATGATGGTGGTGATGGTGACGATGGTGATGGTGGTTGTACTGATGCTAGTGGTGATGATGATGCTGATGGTGATAGTGTTCATGATGATGCTGATGATGCTGATGATGGTGCTGATGCGGATGATGTTGATGATGATGTTGATGATGAAGTTGATGATGGTGATGATGATAATGATGATGATGTTGATGATGATAATGCTGATGATGAAGATGTTGCTGATGATGATGCTGTTGTTGATGATGAAGATGACACCAACTCTACTGTTGTTGTTGATGCTGCTGGTGATGATGCTCATGCTGATGCTGTTGATGGTGATGATGCTGATGATGACGCCGATGATGATGCTGTTGATGGTGACGTTGCTGATGATGATGCTGGTGATGATGCTGATGATGATGATAATGATGATGATGACGATGCTGATTATGATGCTGATGATGCTGATTATGTTGCTGTTGATGATACTGATGATGCTGGTGATCATGATGAATATGTTGATGATGATGCTGATTATGATGATGATGATGCCTCTGATGATGATGAGCATGATGCTGATGATGCTGATGATGATGCTGATGCTGCTGATGATAAGGATGACGATGAAGATGATGATGATGATGATGATCATGATGATGATGATGATGATGATGATGATGATGATGATGATGATGATGATGATGATGATGATGATGATGATAATGAGATGAGATGAGATGAGAATGATGATGAAGACCAGAGCGGAGTCACCCTGGACCAGAGCTATCCTGGATCATTCGGACATCCAACCATTCCCGAATCATCGGGGTGGGGGGTGGTGAGGGGTAGTTCCTTGTTCGTGCCCCAGGGGTGCAAAGCGGGACTACCCCGGACCAGAGCTATCCCGGATCATTCGGACAAACAACCATTCCCGAATCATCGGGGTGGGGGGATGTGGTCAGGGGGTAGCTCCTGGTTCGTGCGTCGGGGGCCCGAACCGGAGTTACCCCTGGCCAGAGTTATCCTGGATATCTCGGGCGTTCAAGAATCCGGAAGGCAAAACAAATACAGATAGTATCTGCGGGTTCCGCGCGAACTTCGTGGATCTGTAAAGCCGAGCCGTGAAGGGGGAGGGCCACGAAACGAAAGAGCTCTCAAGCTGTGACCACGCACGTTGCTCTGCCTGGCCTCCGCCCGCGCCACGAAGACCTGCAGTCGGATCCGGGCTTCTCGACAACCACGGGAACGCGCGTGCTTGCACATGCACGCGCAATTGCCTACAGCAGGCCGTGCGGTACTTGCCCTCCTCCTTCCGCTGCGCACATCCGACCGTTTTCCCGTGCGCAGCCCCAGGGGTGCCGACCCCGCCCCTGCGGGCAATGTGTATCGCCCTGGATCCAGCTCCGATGGTCCTGGGGGGGGGCCCGATTTACGAGAGCCCCAGATAGGCGGCGATCCCCGGGGGGGGGGGGAAGTGAGAAGGAGCAGGCCTCCTCAGAAAGCTTGGAAGTTCCCCCGTCTTCTGACAAGTTTCTCCTAGGATGCCATGTCCCGGAGACGCAGAGAACCTCTCGGAAGGCGCGAAGGCTTCCGAGAAGCCCCGCCGCCTTCTGAGAAGGCCTTCTCCTTCTCACTTACCCCCGCCGGGCGCGCCGCCGAATGTGGTTTTTGGGTCACAACTAGGATCTCTGGCGGCCGTTCGAGACGATCCGGGTACCCCCGGAACGCCCTCGGCGAGGCGCAGCTGCTGAGCTGGCAAGCATCCCGGGGCTGGAAAACCGCCGAGGACCGACGAAAACGCCCGACAAAATCCTCGAGCCTCGAGCCGCCGACCAGAGGCCGACCCCCACGAAGGAGGACACGCCGGGGCTGCAAAAGCGTCGGGGCGTCGGAGATCTCGTGGGCCAGTCACCAGAGGGCACAGCGCCGCGCAGCCGCGGCCTGCGCGGGGCCTCTGGCGGCGCAGAGGGCGCGCCGCCGCGCGGGGGGCGCACGCCGCGCTCGTGGGCGCGGGCTGCGCACAGCGGCGCGGGCAGCCAGGCGCTTTCGCACAGGGGAGCGGCACCTCGCCCACCTGTCGGCGGTGCAAAGGTGGGGCCCTGAGGGATGGGGTCCTCAAGGACGAGGTGCCTCGCACAGTGCAGATCCACCCCTGGACCTCGGCCTATCCTTGGGGCCCCATCCCTCAGGCCCCCCTCTTTGAACCACCGGCACAAGTGGGCGACGCAAGAAAGCGGGGGCGTCTGCGCCGACACTGGCGCGTCCTCGTCTCCACTGTGGCGTGCCGCGCGCGCGGCCCGCGTGAGCCGCCGCGTGAGGTCGCTGTGCCACCTCGCGCAAGACCCGTGTCTTGACCGTCGCTGCAGTGGGCGAGGGAGGGGCCCGCGCCGGCGGCAGAGCCCGGCCGAGCTCGGGCGCGAGCCAGCTCCCACTCGGCCCCTGGCCACGGCCAGGCGCACCAGGGCCTCGGACCAGGAAAACAAATCTTTTTGCGCGCAGCCGGCCCGGGGACAGCCCCCCCGAGGGGGCCCGCGCGGCGCGCCGCCGAACCGACGTCGGCGCGATCGAGGATCCCAGAGCGGGAAAATGAAAATGGGCCCCCAAAACGATAAAACAAAATTCAGGGGGGGAAAATCACACAGACACAAATAAGCGTCGATTCTTGGGAAGATATGGCAAGTATAGCAAGTGGGAGGGACTCTGGGGATGTGTGAATAGTTCTTCGCGTGTCTCTGGGCCCTTTCAAAACGTCGATACGAATGAAATTGTCCCCCCGCATTTGCAACATCATGCCCCCGCGCACCCTCCGCGGAGGGCCGCCACGCCGTCGCGCGAGCTCCCGCGGCCCAGCTCATCGGATACCGGACTCTTTCGGTCGCGATCGGCAGCGACCGATCGGCACTGCACGTCGGTCGCGACCGTTCGCACACGACCGCTCGGCCGCAACCGGGTCTGAAGCACATCGGTCGCGACCGGTACCAGAATTGAATTGCCTTCGTCCCATCCCAAGACCTTGCCCTGGGTCGTGGCCAGAGGTCTTTTTGGAGTCTCGTTGAAGCCTCCTAGTGGCCTCTCGGGGGTCTCTTGGGAGGCTCCTGGGGGCGTATTTGGGAGCACCTGGGGGTATCTTGGGTGCCTCTTCGTGACCTACACCTCGAGAACATCTTGCTGGTCATGAGGCCCAGTATGGCATCGCCTGGTTTTGAGGCTCCCGAGTTCTCGTCACAACACAGCACAGCTGTTGCACGTCTAGTGATTGCCACTGCGTACCCTTTGGGCTCAAGCTGGCATGGCCTAAGGCACCTTGGGCCGAGGAGCTTGCTGAAGTGCTACGCGTTGCTTCCATGATCTGCGATGAATTTGGTGGCCGGGGCTGCGCTGTATGCTCCTGCCTTGTGTGAGAGCACGCCTTGGTTATGGTCTTGCCTGCTTGAGTGCCTGCTCATTTTACCCCCGGCATTTCTCTATATCTTCGACGGGGGCAGCTGCGGTCAGTTGCCACGGTCGCATTCGAAGCAAGAATGGAATCATCACTTGGGGCTGTTTGAGCGATTCAGGATATTACTTTACCAAGATCGGTGGAAGCAGGAATTATGTGCATCGATTGGTGGCCCATGCGTTCTTGGGGCCACCGCCTTCGACGCAGCATTGTGATGTGAATCACAAGGACCGTGATCGTGGCAACAATCATATTGATAATTTGGAGTTCGTCACACGTTCCGAGAATATCTGCCATTCATACGCAGCGAACAGTATTCGCAGAACTTCCGCAGATGCACTCTCCCAACCGGTCCTGAGCAGATGGGCTGGACAAGGTCGCTGGACCGATTACTCTTCTTTGCGCCTAGCGTCCCTCGAAACGGGTGTTGATCCCAGTGCCATCTGCATGTGTTGCAAGGGCAGGATGATTTCAGCAAAGGGGTATGAGTTTAGATATGGAGCACCCATCGATCCGCCATGTTTACCCGGCGAGGAGTGGCGTCCTGCCCTACACCCATGCACTGGCAGAGAGCTATCGACCTGGGAGGTCAGCTCCCACGGCCGAATGAAATCCACTCGCGGATTGGTGTCTTACGGCTCGCGGACTTTAGCTGGCTATCGTGCTACAGGAATTTCAACCGACGGTCGGCTAACAAAACATCTCGTACATCGATTCGTCGCCCGAGCCTTCTTATGGCAACCATCTTACTCAGAAGATCTCGTGGTCAATCACATCGACGGCAACAAAGGAAATAATGCTAAAAGTAATTTAGAATATGTGACTCGGTCGCAGAACTCGCTCCTTTCCAAGAAATGGTGGCTTGGACGCGCAAGTGCCGGAGTAACATTGTCGAAACCTGTGTGGGGACGGATAGTTGGATCGGGGTCATGGAAGTGGTACGCATCGATGGCGGAGGCCGCGCGCCTTTTGGACTTGAAGGGTGGCAGTATATCGGCTTGCTGCCGTGGGATCACACGACGCGCAGGCAGTTACGAGTTCAAGTTTGCAGATTCGACCGTCCCCAGCGTGTTGCCAGGCGAGGTGTGGCGC